GTCACTCCGTTGTGGCATAAACATGTCCCTCAAGTTTTCGGGGTGGGTGAGTGTCTGTGTGTAAGTCGTGGTGGTGATGGCGGGAAGGGGACGTGTCTGAGACTTGCATAGGTTCGGAGTTTCCTCGTACATTAAGCTGAGTAGGTGTGGTTGTGCCAATATCCCAGCAATACCACGGCTGGGGGCACGAGAAATAGCCTTGTTGAGCCCATGTACAGAATCGAACCCTGATCTTAGGCGTGGTGCTTAAACCACAAGCTACCTCTCTCCCCTCCGCAAATTTAACAAAATTACCGTTTGAAAATTAATGACCCATTTCACTTAGATCGGGTGGTCAGGCTCGCTGACTGTCGACACATTCATCGAATCCCCTTTACCAAGAACGATGCTCATAATGCCAGTCACTGGATTGTCTAAACCAGAGTCGATTATTTAGAAGCCACCAACATGTAGCTGAACTATTTCTGAGTGCGAGTGAAACACTAAACAAAAAATAGAAAGTTCGAATAACGCAGGTCTGAGACAATCTGATGAAAGTACCGCGCATTAACGTGGTACAAAGAAACCAAGAAACAAAATCAAGGCAAATCTAGGATTCGAACCCACAATTAGTTTCCTGGCATGAGCAAGGGACCCCACTCTGCACTGTGAATTTCAACACCTTAAGAGATTCGGCTACCCATTCTTTGTCTGCTGGAAAAACGTTGTGAATAAATAGTTTATTATAACTATTGAAGGTTGAAATGAACCTGCACGTTCTTGGCTGGCAACATAGTTAGACCTTTGTGTCCACTGCCTTTCTGATGAACATTTACACTTATCTGATTACTCAAGATAAGACAAAGTGATATATGACATTGAAACTAAAGGTAGAAGGCCAACACACATAAATTCAGGAGCAAATTAGAAATAAATAATTTAACAGGCTGTATATTTTATATCCCCCTTATCCTGACATCGGCGATAAATATCACTTCACACTACGCTGAGTGCAACACTGCAGAGAATGTTAGGAATTTGATTTGAGTTTTAAAAATGTCCGTTCTCATGCAGACACAAATCATAAATCAAATATATGCAAACACATAACAGCTTTGCTGAAATATGACCTTGCCTGGGTGTCAGCGGGCTTCGTTAAAGGGAGACCACTCTCGTCTTATCTCATATAAAGCGGAAAAAGCGTAACAGCTGTTTTGATCCGGACCGAACCTGACACATCAATAAGGAAGTCGCCAAGGACGTATGTGACGTCCTTTGTTTTTTACCACGACCAGGCATTGTATAATTGCGTAGATGTAACAGAGACAGTGATTGGTGATAAGGTTTTTTCCTGAAAGTGTAAGCCACTATTTTCGTAACATTCACTTAATTTAGAAAGATTTGAGAAACTATGTACTTGAAGTGTAATTAATGAACTATTTGATATTTAATATGCAATTGAATTGAGGCAGTTGGGGTTTGCGTCGCTTTTAGCAATATTCCACCACTTTTCATTCGATACTCTACCCCAATACCCACCACCACCCCGCTGTCTTCCCCGACATAAGACTTAAAATGTATTCTTACACACAAACCGCACACGTCATACACACCACCCCGCGTCACAAACCACAGAAACGTTCATATTCCACACTGCATACATCACCTCCTCCCTCAACATACCACCGTCACGGTTTACATACCGCCCCCACTCTTCACATACCACCGTCACGTTTCACATACCGTCCCCACCCTTTACATACCACCCTCACGTTTCACATACCACCCCACCCTTCACATAACACCCCAACATTTCACATACCAACTCCCAACGTTTCAGATACACCCCAACCCTTTACATAAACCCCCATGCTTCACATAACACCCCCACCCTTCACGTACAACCCCCCCACCCTTTACATACCACCCACCAATGCTTCACATCCACTACCCACCCTTCACATGCCATCCCCACATATCCATACCACCCCACACTTAACATACTACCCCCACCCTTCACATAACACCCCAAAATTTCACATACCAACTCCCAACGCTTCATATACACCCCCACCCTTCGCATAAACCCCCATGCTTCACATACCACCCCACCCTTCACATGCAACCCCCACCCTTCACATACCACCCACCAATGCTTCACATCCCACCACACCCTTCACATGCCATCCCCACATTTCCCATACCACCACACACTTCACACACTACCCCTACACTTCACATACCACGCCAACGCTTCACATACCACCCCCACCCTTAACATAAAACCCAGCGCTTGACATACCACCTCATCCTTCACATACCACCCCACCTTTCACATACCACCCCACACTTCACATACCACCCCACCCTTCATATAGCACCCACCCTTCACATACCACCCCCACCCTCAAATAGCACCCCCACCCTTCATATACTATTCCCACGCTTCACATACCTCCCCGACCCTTCACATACCAACTCCACCCATTCATTATCGCCCTGGTCCACCACCACCCCAACACCACACACAGCCCAAAAAACTCCACATGGTACTCTTCACATACCATCCGCAAGTACCACCTCCGTGAAGACATACAACTCCCTCACACCGCACATCATGCACACACTTCACATGCCGCCCCCATACCGCACACACGACATGGCTTTCCTACCATCTTGTGTGCCGCAGTTTTAAATCTAATCTCAAGCATCACTCCAGCCCAAACATTTTAATTTTGCCAAGACACGGGGACACATTGTTGTGCCGGACATGATCTCGTATCTCGAGAAGATTTACCTTCGAAGTGATTTTCACAGTGTTTCGTCTTAATGCGGACGAGTTTGATTTAACCAGATCATCTAGATTAATGTGACTGTCACGCCCCTCTAATCACTGTTTGACATCCCAGTAAGGCATCTGTTACATTTCCATCCTTCTAAAGATACAAGCGCATGGTCGATGAGACGCTTGTTATGATAAAACAAGCACGTACGTTGTAAATAGCTTTGTGTATTTCCACTAACTTCCATGGGTGGTGAAGTAGCCAAGAAGTTAAAGCGTTCGCTCGTCACGCCGACAATCCGGGTTCGATTTCCTACATGGGTACAATGTGTGAAGCCCATTTCTGGTGTCCCCCGCCGTGATATTGATGGAATATTGCTAAAAGCGGCGTAAAAACATACTCACTCATTCATTAACACCAGACCCTGACACGAATACACACAGACAAGCATACAGGCTGACAGGCACACACACGTGCATGCACACAAAGACACAACCTCACATAGACACTCATACATATACATGCACACACATAGACATACAGATAAACAACACCTACACACAGACACCCATACACACAGAAACACATGCAGATGCACACACTCACCCACACAGACGCAGACACACATTGAAACTCACACATTCGCAGAGAGACAGAGGGCATACAGACAGACTCACGCACAGATACACACAAACACCCCCCTCCACAAACACAAACACTCCACAAACACAACACCCCACAAACACAAACACACAGCCCCACACACAAACACACATACACAAACACGCGCACATGCACGCACACACACAAACACACACACACACACACAAACACCTTCCGCCTGCAAATCCAGAACCTCCGCCCTTTTCACATTATCAATCTCTTCAACTCCAACCGCATCCCTTGCGTAAATTCACAAACACATCTACCCCACCCACCCGTCTCGCCACCATCAAGTCTGTCAGACACCTCATTGACATCGATACGAAATGGCCATCCCACTGCACTCTCAACTTCACTAACTGACTTTCACAGCGCTGGGTCACCAACAAAAGAACAGCCAGACACCTGACGCAAAGAACCAATTTCTCTCAATATGTACACCCTAAACGCTTCCTCTGTATTTGCCAATATGGAGGTGACACTTCACTCCTTACGAGTAAATACAACCGACAGTCACTTAAAGATCGCATTGTGAGCCGAAACAGTGCAGAAAACACTTTCTTCTTTTCACCCCCGTGACGTTATTTTAACGATAAAAGGGGCTCTTACACCGGGTCACACCCAATATAACGTTGTCTAATTTGCTTTCATATTAGCACCTTGCCCTCAGCTCAATATTCATTTCGCTATTTAGGCTTAAGAGCCATGCTTCCTCTGAACTCATGTCTCGAGTACGTGTGGGCCCTGTGCCAGCACCCGGAACCTCTAATCTACTGGCCTATATTTAACACTTGCCAGTGCAGATATATAGTTCTCTGTTTATCTTTCTACTTTATTACTTATTGAAACAGGCTTTCATGCCACGTGGGTTAGCCCGCACGTGGTTACTTACATACACTTATCTTGTTTGAAGCACACAATCACGGAACAGTGAATCACGCGATAAAAAAAAACATTTGTTTTTCAAAACATCAATTTCAAGATTATTAATATTTTTTATCACAATAATGTACCTAAATAAGCCAAAAGAACGAGATGTGATAAGGGCCCTTTTGAGCAAACTGGAATTGACACATTGTAAATTGAGGGGATACTTTCACATATTGTGTGCGTGTGTGTTTGTTGTTTTTCGCCGCACCTGTACGTAATAGTCGGGACTAGACATTCCAGTGATTGACATCATTATCATCAATCTACAAAATTGGCATCAGATGACAAGCGAAAACCAAAATCAAAATATACGATCAAGACCCTGCACTTGAACCAAGATGTTTTTAAATTTTTTGGTTTGTATTATCTACATACCGCTGTTCTCAATTTTCAGATTGGGTCAAAGATTTGCTAAAGTACAAATATAAGAGAAATTTTAGATATATTTAGAATTAACTCAAAGCCTCAACTACACCTGAGTGCTATAAAATGGCTTATATGCTAATTGACAAAAGACAAGGAAACATAATTGTCATATGTTTTCTTGAACCAACGTCAAAACGAATTAATAATTTCATTTACCTGTCAGGATTTCATGTATGACCCTGCGATTTTGAATATCATGTTGATATTACAGTTAGTCACCTGACTCACTTTTATCGTCTCGTCAGCGACCTCTCCCTCACGGGTCGGGCAACAAGTGCCCCATCGTGCATGTCAACACGTCATCACGCGTGTGACGCTCGTGGGAACGTGGCCCAAACGTTCCTGGCAGTATGCCAAAAGACAAAAGATTAAGTCCTTACCTGCTGCGGGCGTATATACTTGCCCTACGTGTCGCAACAGGCAGCAAGTACGACATTTGTGAGGAAGGTAGAGTACGATTATAAATCTGCTGAACCGAATGTCTTGCAGCACGTTAAGCTTGAAATATGAATAATAAGATATGAAATGTTTCAGGCCAGATATGTTTACGCTCGCGGGGACACGTACGTTCTGCGGTTTCGTGATTGTAGGCAGATATTCTATGCTGAATAAATGTAGAGAGTATAAATTAGGTTTCCTCATTATAAATCACTATTCGGATCGTATACATACAGTAAATGGGTACCTCGATCACTTGCAGGTATCCATATTTTATGACTTTCACATGACATAACAAAGCTTGGAGACATATTGCACTGTTTGTTAGTTTGTTGTTTTACGCTGCCCTCAGCAGTTTTTCAGCTGTGCAATGGGGCCTGTAAATAATTGAGTCCGGACCTGCCATCCCAGTGATCAATAGCATGAGCAGCGATCTATGCAATTGGGATACGATGAAATTTTTCAACCAAGTCAGCAAGCCTGACCATCCGAGTCGCCTTTTACAACAAGCGTGGGTCGTTGGAGATCGGACTCTTATCTGGATTCGCCTCCGAACCAGACACCCAACCAAACTTTCAACCTACCAGCCTGCCATTCAACCAACCAACCTACCAACCTACCAACCTTCCAGCCAACCAACCAGCCAACCTCCCCTCCCCGAAACAGATAAAGAAATAACAACAACAAAAACAAAACAAACAATAAAAAATCCCAAGCAAGACAAAAAACAACAACCCCCAAACCTTTAAAAAACCCAAACAAACAAACAAAACCCCGAAACAACAACCAAAAACATTCAAATTCAGACTCGTCATATTCAGCGGTACATTTTGTTCAATTGGCACATATAGTTTGCTCGTCGATACCGGAACCTAAGCCGTTCATTATCGCTCCATCAATAAAATTACTACGATATAAGAAAGTTGTATTCAGAATTGAACAGTTTAGGGAGACCTCAATGAACACAGATACTCAGTTATTGCATTGCCTTCTGGAGGACACAGACACCTGTGTTACACTTCCTCGATAACAAGGTCGGGTGAGCAAGTGTACACGAACCATCTGTTTATGACCATTGCAGTAATTCATACACAACTTCTCCTGATTAAACTCTCGGATTAGTTGTATTGTTATCAAGCGTCATCGCAGTGTGATTATCCTCTTATCCATATTAGTCTGGAAGCCGACAGGGGGCGATCTTATCTGTCCCCTTCTTCCCACTCCTGTTTTATCCCTTCCCGACCCCATCTTCTCCCGACCTCGCTACCTCCCTCCCAACCCAACCTCCTCTCTGTACTTTTAGTGGACCACACAAGAAGGTGTAATACCATCAGTGTAATTACGAGCTACCTGCGGTCCGGCAGAGGAGCTAGCATACTCTTACAAGCAAATAGTTCATCCATCCTCCCCCACACCTCATCACCACGCCTTTCTCTCCTCCCCCGCAACAAGCAGCACTTTTAAAACATTCTTTACATTTTTGAGGATTGCGAAGCAGTGACGCCTTTGTTATGAATAACTTGATCTCCAAACGAGGTGATTTTGTATTCAGTTAAAGCAAAACGACCACGTCATATTTTCTCACCGAACTCCTCGCGGAGTTATGTATTTTACGTGATTTCGGAAGAAAATATTAAAAGAATCAGATTATTCAGCATAAAAAACAATGGTGACTGGTACCAGTATTGTTTGTACAGATAATGACTGTTTCTTCTTTCTCAAATAGCTCTACGCGGAAAATATAATATTTTTGTATACAATTGCTGAAAATAGATGAAGCATGGTTTGCTGAAGATCAATTCTAACCCGGATCTTCACGGGTCCATCTATTTATGGACAATTCAAAGCGTAACATTTGCCGGACATTTTTACTATACCCGGTAGGTTTGAAACATTCGCAAGGTTCGTATTTTGTAACCGGCAGAATTTCTGCATTGCACAACAAAGCTTCAGATCCTGAAATTTGAGCAAGAATAGTTGCGTCGTGACATCCCGAAATAAGCAGATACTTTTAAACATTATATACAGTTATAATAAAATTCCATAGTGTTTTATTATTCAACCACCGAGTGTTTATGTGAAACATGAACAACGAATCTGAAGTTAAAACGAGATTCGGAGTTGCAGTGAGTGAGTTTTGTTTTGCGCTGCTTTTAGCAATATTCCAGCATTATCAAGTTCGGGAATAAACCATATAATGGGATTCACTCATTGTACCCATCTAGGGGATCGAACCTAGGTCTACGGCGTGACGAGCGAACAAGGCCACCCCACCGCCCCAGTGTGAGGAGTAAACGGAGAAGTCTTGTACTATTAATGTGACAAACGTCTTAAGAATATTTCAACAATCTCCGAAAAAGTTCGTTGGCAAGTCAAACTTATAGGCTGGCAGACCTGAAATACAGATGGCCTAAACACGTCACAGATGAAGCCCCTCCGGCACACACCATCGGTGTGACGTCATGACTGGGAAACAGACTGTTTATTCGAATAGATATTGTAGTGGCAGTTCAATAGCCAAAATTCTACAATGTTTGAACTTTTAGACAATTGCTGGTGACTCAGGGTGAAATGTTATAATTATATTTCCTTAATAAAAGTGACATAAAACAATACTTAGTCACTGTAACACAAAGTCAAGACCTAACGGTATATGAATTGACCGCTCGATGGCTATCTTCAAGAAGGTGTATGGTTAACCTTATTGGGCTGAGGCATTAAGTACCCTTCTTTGAATCTATGTCCAGTTTGAATAATGAAACAGTTGAAAGCAGGAATTTATCACCTCTAAGCGTGCTTCATTCTTGATGATCAATGTATCGATGCGGAATAGTGGCCATATATTCACTTCAAAAATTTTGGCTGCGATGTCTTTCTTATTTGAGCGGTCGCTCCGTGTGTATTAGGCAAGGGACATCTTTATAAGCACTGCGGAACAGAATAAATTTGAATGTATTCACCTTTTTTTATTCTGGCCACCAATGAAACAATCAAACAAATGAATGATTCGATTGTGAGTGTTTCGACTGTTATGTGGGGTACCACCGGCAGGGTAGGATACACACACCTTTTCTATTTAATAGTGATTACGAGAAACATACAAAAGTCTCATGATACAGTCAGACTTGTAGGGCGGTGGGTTAGCCTTGTGGTTAAAGCGTTGGCTCGTCACGCCGAAGACCCGGGTTCCAATCCCCACATGGGTACAATGTGTGAAGCCCATTTGTGGTGTCCCCCGCCGTGATGTTGCTGGAATATTGCTAAAAGCGGCGTAAAACCAACCTCAGTCAGTCAGAGTTGTAAATGAGCTCTACTTGTTTTCTCCCTCTCATTCAGTGACATTTTGAGAATTTGTAACTGTTTCGTCAAATACAGTTTCCAAGTGAATACTTTCCCGGCTGTTAATTTTGAAAGGCAACCTTTTTCTGATGCAACCATAATTTCAACCACATTTGAGAAAAAATCACCAAGTAGTCGCGATTTTGTCCCTAAAAGTACCAATTTGCCTCGTATTGATATGTGTCCACGCTGACCGAAACATTTATTAACCAGTTTGAATTCATACACACTAAGAATGCAAGGTCAAGTTTTAAATACGAGACCATACAGTACAAAAAAGAACAATGGCATTTTTTTGATTATCAAGTGCGCTGTATATCAAATTGCAAAGTTTAAATAGAAAATTATCCCAATAGTGTTAGGTGGCATAAAGTTACACCCTAGATAAAATATTCTAAATGGTCACAAGCCTAGCCGAAGCTTTAGCTAATCCTTGAATATTTAAAGTATCAGATAGCAGCCTAGAAGGTCGAGTCTCCGATACTTGAGTGTTTGCAGGATCTACTTTGAGGGGCTTGGACCAGGTTGAGAGGCTGGCCTGGAGTAGAGCCGAGACAACTATATGTTTACAGAAGGATTGGACAAACACCAAGCATTATTTGTCAATACTAAACCTTCCCAGAGTCTCTTGAACCTCGGGCCCCGTTGAGGCAGTTTCTTTATGCAGCCATTAGGCTTAGTAATGTCCCGACCAGCTCCAACACAGACCATCTACAATTATTGTAGGTTCCTTTAAACTGCTTTCAGGTTCGTATGGGACAGTAAACAGCGTTAAATATGTTGGTGGAGAAGAGACATCAGGGGGTGGTTCTTGGGTATTTTTCTTCTGCGGTGATCACATGGCGTCGTCTTCAAGCAAGCGTTCTGATGATTTAGTGGTTGGTTCATGTAGTATCTTACACCGAGGTTAATAGGATCATATTTGAAGCCATTATCACTGACCTCTGGGGTCGAAAGCTTTTGAACCCCCATTGAAAGTTGAATACCGGCGGAATAAGACCTCCCTCTTTAAGGCATGAACTGATTGGATTCAGTACTTGAGATTCTACTGATAGCTTTATTTCACAATCCTTTCTTGAAGCCGAGCGGAGAGGCAACCTGGTGATTACGATGACAGTGATGACCCATCTTGGACAGCATCACAGTTCTAGGAGAGATGTGTAAAAAGCTTTGTAGGGGACTGGTAGATAGTGTTAAAAAAGAAAGAAATTTCGAGCCATGACGCTGAAAGGATAGATCCATCTGAATGACAGGCGATGATTGTAAGAGAGAATTTCCAGAATGACAATGGGTTCAGAGAAACGATCTCTCGTGTTTTGGACCTGAAATGATACGTGTTTTTGTAAATACATACGAAGGCTTGGTCAGGTAGCCTAGTGGGTAAAGCGCTTGTTCGTCAAATGACCCCAGTTCGATTCCCCATATGGGTACATAAAATGAAACCCATTTCATTTCTGGTGTCCCCCTCCATGCTGCTGCTTGATATATCTTTATAGTGTATTGTTATATGTGTGTTCTTTATGTATCGGGTTGTCCACTAAT